TTTTTTTTAATTTTTGTTATTTATTTTAAAAAATAATTTGATTAAAAAAACTTTAGTTGATAGAAGTGTTTTAGTCTTTATTTAGCTAATGGTTTCAATTTCTAAGTATTAAATTACATGTTCTTTCTTTCATATTGTTCAGTACTTTGGGATGGCAAAGAATAAATTTTAATAAATAAATCAATAAAAAAAAAGATAGATATTTTGGGTTAAAAAGAGTAAGATTTCAAAGTTATTTGAATTAATTGATCTATTGTTTAAGGATTATCATAGTGAGGTATTATTTCTTATTTTAATAACACAATTCATTTAATAAAAAAATATTAAAGATATGAGACTAAGAAAATATATTAATTTCTTAATTCTATTAAGATTCCAAGAAGATATCAATCAAAAAAAATCAAAATTAAAATTTTTCTTAAAAATAAATTAACTAGTATCATAAAAGATATTCAAGACTCAAATCGTCAATAAAGAAATTTGCCCCCCTCACTTGATTTTCTAACTCTACTACTGTATACAACATAGAAGAACCAGTTGAACCAATTATATTTATATTATATTTAAATGGCTAAATTAGCTACGTGTTAGTGTGTATTGAATCAAAGATTGTCTAAATCATTTTCCTTTTTAAAATAATAATGAAACTATTTTATTATTTTTTTCATTATACTTTATCAAAATAAAATAGTTTTAAATATTTTTACTTAATTTTTTTTATAAATCTAATTAATAAACATTAATTTCTAGCGCAATTATCCCCTCCTCTCTCTTTTCTATGGTCACCGCATTATTTTCTTCTTCTTTTCTCCTTAGCCATTGCCTCTCTCCCCTAGGGTGGTTAGGGAGAATAAATAGGAGGTTCTCCCTTTTTGAGCATTTTGTCTCATTTGTGGGAATTTCTCTCTATTTGTGGGGGGCTTTTGTCTGAGTTCTCTCGATTGTTTTCATTGGGTTTTGCCCTAGGTTGAAAAGGACAACAACATGGTGATGACTCTTCTCTAAGTTAATTCAAGCATAGCTTGGGTGATCCCTAACGGCGGCTCCAACTCTTTCTTTTAGGTTTCTTCAAATCCTTGTTCACTATTTAGGGGGTGGGGATTGTTATTTGCCAGATTAACTGCTTTCCTTGAAGCTTGACGTGATAATTGAGAAAGTCTAGTAGTTTCAAAAACGAACTAGAGCTTTCTTTCTACTTTTGTAGCATTGTACTTATAGTGACTACTTAGATAATCTCTAGATATATATTACTCTCTACACTTAATTGTCCTTATTCACTATAGACATTATTCTTATCTATATATCTAATGCTATAGATTATTATTTCAATTTGGCTTTAGCTGCTTTTATGTAAAAATTTATATGTAATTTTTTAGGATCGTGATTCATGCGCACCCCGGTTCAACACTCGGGGGTGTACACACCACTTAACCACATAATTTTAAAAGTAAAATTACAAATTTATCTCCTTTTTTTTCTTCTTTTTTTTTCGTCTGGGTTCTCGAGAGAACCCAAACCTAGGTACTTCTCAGAGAACCCAGGTTTGGGTTCTCTGGACAACCCATCGGAGAACCCAAATGGGTTCTCGAGAGAACCCAGGTCTGGGTTCTTCTCCGAGAACCTAGGTCTGGGTTCTCTAGAGAACCCATCAGAGAACCCAAATGGGTTCTCCGAGAAGAACCTCGAGTTCTCGAGGACCCAGATCGAGTTCTCCAAGAACCCACTTTGGGTTCTCCGAGAAGAACTCAGGTCTGGGTTCTTCTCAGAGAACCTAGACTCCTTCTTTTTCTCTTTCTCTCTCTCTGGCCGCTCGAAGCACCAAATCAAATTCATAGAAAAGTCAAAAATTGGACAAGGAATAAGAAACAATAATAGAAAAAGGAAATTGCAGTGGAAATTGAATGAAGTGATGATC